ATATTAGAGGTCATTATCATTTTTACCATATTGTTATCAAATTTACCACTCATTCAAAACTTTTTCTTTTTTTTTTTATTCTACAAAGTTTTCAATTGTTACTAGTTCTCTCTTTTTTTTTTTGATGTGTGCATGTTTTGTATAATTATATATTTGTATGCTTCAAGATGATGAAGAACAGTATGGAGAAAATAAATTTTTAAGATAATTTTGAGCTTTTAAGATTGAATTTTGAATGATTTGAATTAATTGATAATGAAAAAAATAAGTTTAAAGATGGTAATATGGTATGGTATTGGTAAAGTAAGTTTTATTATCATTAAAAACGATTGGTAACTATTATCAAAAAATTATTAATTGATATAAAAATAATAACTTTTTTTTATTATCACTTAAAATAATTACCATCATTTAAGTGCGATACAATTATTATACCGTAACATGCCCCGCCCTACCTCCTTGGTCCAGTAAAGGATAAAAAATTTTATTGAGAGAGACTGAAAGACAAAGGACTTTAAAACGATTTTCAAAATCATTGTACTGGAGAGAAAGACAACTTGGCCCACAATATTAATATTTTTTTGGTGGATACAGTAAAAAAAGAGAAAGGAAATCATCTTTATAGTCCTTGCCTCCTTGGTCCAGTAAAGGATAAAAAATTTTATTGAGAGAGACTGAAAGACAACGGACTTTAAAATGATTTTCAAAATCATTGTACTGAAGAGAAAGACAAATTGGCCCACAATATTGATATTTTTTTGGTGGATACAACTCTATTATTTGATCCTGACGATTTCTGAGTGAGAGACTGAAAGAGAAAGGACTTAAAAGTTAAAACGATTTTCAAAATCATTGTACCGGAGAGAACGACAACTTGGCCCACAATATTAATATTTTTTTCGGTAGATATAACTCTATTATTTGATACTGATTATTTCTGAGCCAATTTAATAAAACCAAGTGCTGATAAAGATGAAGACATCTAATTTTTTGGAAAATTATATATAATTTATTTGTGGTTTAGGATGAATATATTTTAAATTTTATGATATTAAAATATGTTTTAAAAATTCTGTGCTTCGAAATATGAGTGACTTTGAAATATGAGTATTAAGTCACTCTTATTATTTAAATGATATTAAAATTATGTTTAATATGTTAAATATCTCTCTAAACTAAACAAAAAAAAACTCAAATATTACAGACCTTATTTTATGAAAACCTTCAAAAAAAAAAGGTCAAATGAAAATGAAAATCAAATAAAATAACCCTATATGGATAATTAAATAAAATCTTTTAATTTATTGTAATTTATATTCAAAAGTGAAGTTTTGTCTTTAATTTTCTTCCATCGACTTTTTTGTATTTTATGACGAGTTTTACTGCTTATTTAAGATTTAAAAGTTAAAAATTTTATTTGAAAAATTGAAAAATTCTACATTTATTCTTTGTTATTATAAATAATATGTTCCTGCATATTTAATTTCAATTAATTTTAGCCGTATTTGTTAATTATGAGTATTTTATACATGTATAAAATATATTTTTTTAATGGAATTAAAATCTATGTACCATAAAAAAATGGGAACTTGACCTACAATATTAATTTTTTTATGGTAGATATAATTCTATTATTCGGCATACATAATCTTTGGCACAGTTTAAGAAAGTTCGACAATAATGCGTTACCTTTTATTTATAATTAATTATATTATATTTTAATTCACCTATTAAAAAATTTAATTTCTTAAATTAAATCGTGTTCAATTTTAGTTGGCTTTCTTAAATATATTTTTAGAAAAATGACCAACCCAACAATCCGTAAAGGAAAGACGTAGTCTGTGGCATGACAGCCCTTTCGTTTTTAACGATGCATGATTATGGCAGAAAGATTTTGAAATCTTAGAATCCTTCAATTTCTTCGGAAGCAGAAGAGAAACTTGACAAGTAAATGAAAGGCATGACGACCATTTTGTTTTAACGATGCTTGATTGGGGTATTCCGCAAAAAGATTTGAAGTCTACAAATCTTCCAAAAAATTAAAAAATATATATCTTCTACCGACCAAACCTGCAAACTCATATCATGAAGGTGGTACATGAATTACAGGGTATTGTTTATATATGAAAAGTTTTTGAATTTATTTTAAATTATTGATTAAGTCGTTAAATTTTTATTGAAGTAAATAATTTTTTAAATTTGTCAATGGAGTAATTTAATCATTTTTCTTATGACAAATTTAACATTTGTTTATACTTTATTTACATGAATAAAGTTACTATCTATTATGTGAACAATGATATATTAATATCTTATCCACACAAAATATGCACAAATAGACGTTAAATCTATCATAGAAAAAAAGAGATTAAATTGATCAAATCACTAAATTCATCAGTTTATTTACTTCAATAAAAGTTTAAGAATTTAATTAAAAGTTTTAATATATTCAAGGTTTAACATAGGATTTTGACTATGCCAAAGAACTATTTTCTTTTACCATAATGACCAACTTCATTAACAAGGCTGAATAGGCTCACAGAGCCTCAAGGGTGGTCAAGTCTTTTCGAAATAGTTGATTCAATCAGACTAAGAGCGCATGAGAACTATAGCCCCACACTAAGGGTGTTTAATTACCCCTTTTTTCGAAAGACATTTTTGAAGAAGCCAACAATTTCTTTTTACCGTCTTGGCCCTAGAAAATAAACTTCCAAACACAAAAATCAAGGTAAAAAAAAAGGCAGAAGGCGCAATTTAGCCCTTCTACTTTACTTGTTGTGGCTTGTTAGCCTTTCTACTAAAAAGTTGTGCAAATCAACTCCTCTACTAATCAAAACCCGCAACTCAACCCTTTCTTAACTTTCATAAGTATGACATTAGACAACGTTATCTTTCTATTTGCGTTTTTATCACCCCACTAACAGAAGCTTACTTGGTGCATTAACAGTTACATCTGATAAAGTTAGAGTCTACACTATACTTCACATATTTAATAGTTATAATTTAATGTCTTAGCATTTTTAGTACATCTGCACATCTTGATTTTCCCTTTTCTCTTTAATTTTTACATATTTTATTTGACATAATTACTAATAAATAAACTTTTCTTATCATGTCTTTAAATGAAAAACTTTCTCTCAACTTGTCCATCTTAGGATATACTTGACATTATTTCCTTTAGCTTTCTAAATACTAACCTATTAACAAACACAAAAAAATTAACAAATCTAATAAAAATTTAATTTTATTATAAAATTTATCAATTTTTCATGTAATACTTTCTTAGGGCTGTTTGGTGGTGCTTTTTGGAACTTTTTGGAACTTTTACTTTTTTTGTACTATTTATGAGTGATAAGTTTAAATTTTTATTAGAGGAAAAATTTAAAAGTTGCTTTTAGAAATAAAAAAAAAGTAAGTAAAAAAGAAGTTTATAAAAAGTTTAGATTTGAAGCTTTTGAGTTTTTACTGTTTGAGGTCTTTTTAAGGTTAAAAAAGAGTTTAAAATGTAAGGTTTTAAGAGAAAAATTTAAACTTATGAAATATGAATAGTGTAAAAAAGCTGAAGCCCCTAGAAGCAGAGCCAAACATGCCCTTAACTGCCATCCTAAAAGACCTTTTATAGTAAAATTAAGGCTTAATTCAATTTTTAGTCTATTAACTATCACCTTGATTTCATTTTAGTCTAGAAATTATGTTTTATTTCTAAGTGGTCTATTAACTTTCAGATTTATTTCAATTTCGTCTACTTGGTCAAAGATAACGGAAAACTTCCTATTCTGTTAGGAACAGTTAATCCTCTAACTATATTTTTTTTTATCTTTTAGTCCTCAAATTTATATTTGTTATAAAAATAACTTTTATACTTAAAATTATTATTTTTAGGCTCTGATACTAGATTTTTATACTTAAAATTATTATTTCTAAGTGGTCTATCAACTTTCAGGCTCTAATACCAAATTAAAGAAATAGGAAAACCCGTATAAAAATCTGGTATTAGAACCTATAAATAATAATTTTAAGTAAAAAAATTATTTTTATAACAAATATAAATTTAAGTATTAAAAGATAAAAAAAAATATAGTTAGAGGACTAACTGTTCTCTAACAGAATAGGAAGTTTTCCGTTATGTTTGACTAAGTAGACGAAATTGAAATGGATCTGAAAGTTAATAGACCACTTAGAAACAAAACATAGTTTCTAGACTAAAATGAAATTAAGGTAATAGTTAATAGACTAAAAATTAAATTAAGCTGTAAAATTAACCTCTTAAGTGCTTGGAGTTTACAGTAAGAAATGAACCATATTTCCTTTTCTACCCTTGCTTTTCCACTCCTCTCAAAGTTTTGACTTGAAGTTTTTAACATAGAAATTTAAGTTCCCAATGTTGAGTGAGAAAATTCCACATTAAGTGTATAATGAAGAAATTTGTGGGTTAAATATAAGGAAAGCTACTCTACCTATTATTAATTGATTTTAGATTGGATGCAAATCTTGTATTAAACCTACATGCATAATTTTCACATAATATCAAAACCCAGATTTTGTCTTGAGAAGCTCATTGTTGGCCCAACTGATAGAATCCAAAGTCAAGCTCAGATTCCGTCTTGAGAAACCCATTGTTAGCTCATCTGATAGGACTTGAAATTAAAATTAATATTGGGCTCACGTGAAGGGGCATGTTGAGTGGAAAAATCCCACAACAAGTGTATAACGAAAAAACCTGTGAGTTAAATATGAGAAATACTACTCCATCTATTGTTAATTGGTTTTTGGTTGGATGCAAGACTTGTGTTGAATCTAAATGCACAATTTTCACATGTTTAAGTCATGTGACAAGACCTAACATTCAAACTGGGCATGTAGGTGAGGGGGCATGTTGAGTGCATGCTACTCAACTTCTCACATGCACAATTTTCACGCCCAATTGTTAAGATATTTTAGAAAATGAAAAGCATAGGCTCTTTAGTCTATATATATAAGAGATTTTACATTTGAGCACCCACAGTCTCTCATTATTTATTCGTCTCTTACGTTCATGTTTGCCACAAAGCTCTTCATCGATTATATCTGGTAAGCATAGGCTCTTTCGTCTATATATATATATATATATATGAGATTTTACGTTTGGTCACCCACAGTCTTATTATTTATTCGTCTCTTACGTTCATGTTTGCCGCAGAGCTCTCCATAGATTCTATCTGGTCTTGAGCATCCGTTTCCAACTTCCAACAAGTAAGCTTCTGTAATATTCCTTAAAAAAATACTTCAACTATTGTCTCTACCATACAATCATCAAATGTTTATATAGTTTCTTAATCGACAAAGCAAATTAATTATTTTTTTAAAACAGCAAAAATTTAATTTTATTAATTAATTAATAGTATAAAGGATACTCCATTAAGAAATTAATTGAGGATGAATCTATACCTTTCTTTATGCAGGGGATGGAAGAAATTACTCAGTTAGCTGAAGCTGAAGCTGAAACTGGAACTGAAACTGGAACTGAAACTGGAGCAAGTAACGATATATCAATTACTATAATAAACGACTGCACAAGCATGGAGCGGAGGACAGTGCCGAACTCGGCTGTCCAGTGTTGGGTAAAGAAAAATGCCTATGAACCTTATGTATCCTGATTTTCCAACAGTTTATGTAGTTTCTTAATTGACAAAACAAATTAACTAATCTTTTTAAAAAAGGATAAAGAGGTAATTTTATTAATTACCAGTGTAAGGGACACTCCAATTAAGAAATTAATTGAGGTTGAATCTATACCTTTCTTTCTTCAGGGGCGAACCAGAACTTATCAGTTCTCTGAAACTAATACAAGTTTCGATGAACCAGTTGCCATAGGAGAGCACCGCAAAAGAAAGAGGACTTTGCATTGGCCAATGTTAAATCACAAAATCTGCAGACCTAATCTCCGAATGGTAAATAAAAAAGGTCTATATATATGAACATTATGTCATTTCTACAATGATTTTGCAGATTTTCTACCCTAATTTTCCAACAGTTTAATTATATAGTTTCTCAATTGAAAAAACAAATCAATTAATTTGTTTTTGAAACGATAAAGAGATAATTTTATTAATTAGAGTATAAGGGATACTCCATTAAGAAATTAATTGAGGTTAAATCTATGCCTTCTTTCTTCAGGGCGTGGAGAAAGATTATCCCATGGCTAAAAGTGAAACAAGTAGTCAAGATTATCCCATGGCTAAAAGTGAAACAAGGAGTCATGTATCAATTGCTATACAAAACGATCCCACAAGCATGGAGCAGAGGACAATGCGCAGACTGCCTCCGCAACTACTTGAGGTAAATAAAGGAGCCTATGAACCTTATGTCATTTCCTTCGGTCCATACCATCGTAATAACTTCGATAAAAGGAATCACTTGAAAGATATGGAAGGACGAAAGGCGGAAACTTTAAATAGGCTTCTTGAACTGGCAATTCAAGGTAGTGATAAAATACATCTATCAGCCACAGGAACTATTGTGAAAGAAGCTCGTAATTGTTATTCAGAATCTTCATACCTTTCCGATGAAGAATTTTCCGATGAAGAATTTGTAAAAATGATGGTCCTTGATGGATGTTTTATCATTCAGCTAATAACGGGAACCTTGAAAGATTCTTTCTGCACCCAGGGTCTGATCTATACAAGCATTTTGCGTGATTTGGTTCTAGTTGAGAATCAACTTCCCTTTTTTGTACTATGTAAGTTATTGGACAAAATCCCAAAAACATTTTTCAACCCGAAGGGTTCTACAGATCCAAAAAGATGGTTTATCAGTCAGTTACTTAGAAGGTTTGAAGATACAATGCCAGGGCTCAGGGTTGACAGAACCTATGATGACGATTCAATGAAAAAAGTCAAGCATATAGTACATTTATTACACTCCAATTGGCTTCCTTCAGACAAGGCAATGACTGAATACAATGAACACCCAAAAGATGGCAAATGGCGTTTCATCCGTTCTGCTACAGAACTAAGAGAGGCGGGAATTGAGTTCGAAATGGTTGAGACAGAAGGGAATAGGAAAAGAAGCTTATTTGATATCAACTTTGAAAAAGGGAAAGGGATACTAAAGATGCAAAAATTGACTATTGAGGATGACACGGAGAGTTTGTATCGTAACCTCATTGCCTGTGAGCAGTTTGACAATGAACTTCCAGCATACTTACTTGATTATGTTACTGTCATGGATTGCCTAATCAACACAGGGAAGGATGTGGAGTTGCTTTGTAAGAGTAAGATAATTGATAATTTGTTAGGCGATGATGAATCAGTTGCCGCCTTGTTCAACAAGCTTGGAGACCATGCTAAGTTCTCTAGAAAAAGTTTCTTCTATGCCCAGTTATTTAATGACATCAATGAGCATTACGAGAAACCTTGGAATACGTGGAAGGCAAACTTAAGACAGAAATATTTCAACACCCCGTGGGCTTTTATCTCCTTTCTTGCTGCAACTTTGTTGATTCTACTTACAGTGCTACAAACAACATTTACAATCTTCCCTCGCTCTTGAAATTTCAAAGTGCAAGAGACCCAAGACCAAATGGTATGGCCAAAATGTGCGAGAAATGCATATGTTACACAGACTAGTAGAAGGGGTTTGCTACATCTTGTTTTTTGTTATTACCGATTTGTATTGTACTGTATCATATTGTATCTTGCCTTTTAAGGTTTGTTTTGTTGGGTTTCTTTAGGCTTGGAAGTTGCAGTATTGTAAGTTACCGAATTGCATTGTACTATATTGTTACCGTGTTTTCTTTAGATTTGTTTTGTTGGGTTTCTTTAATCTTGTAAGTTGTGAGAGCTATGTTAAAGATTGTTGCTGCCTAGATTTGTTTCAAATTTGCAATATAGTTGTTACCCCTAAAATCCTATTGGCCACACCTTGCTGCGAAAATTGTAATGAAGGTGTGCCATCTACTTTTGCAAGAAAAGTAGGAAAAGGATTCTCCGATGACCCTCTCCTTCCACTCAATTTTTCCTTGTGAGAAGGCTATTGGAAGACTGTTGTTTAAATTATAGTGCACCTGAATAAGATGATTGGCATAAACGAGGGATTAATTCATGCACAATAAGCTCATACTTGCCTTGAAAGCATGTCAAGGACTTAGGTTAAAGTAAACGAGTATCAAGAAAAATTAAATTAAAGTACTAGTGATGAATAAGCTAAGGACAAGTGCCAAAAATTAACTAAATAAAGTGTAGAAAATATAGCTAAACAAAAACTAAAATTGTAGACAGAAAATGTAAATTTGGCAAAAATCTAGAAAATATAGTAGAAAAGTAAAAGATTCTAAATTTAATTGAAATTATAGACATGTTTGAATTAAAATCAAATTGAATGTTTAATAATTGAGAAACTTAGTAGAAGCAAAACACAATAATAAGAAAAAGTCATAGAAACTAATCTTACCAAAAAACTAAATCAACTAAGAATAAGAATCCGTTGAGGACATTGATCTACTTCTATTGGACTAAAAACTTGAAGAAAAGATGCTAGAAAATAGTCTAAAACTAAGAAATCACTAGGCTAGATTAAACTATAGGATGCTTGAAGAACAAAGAGCTTTGAAAGATAAATGATTTGTGAAAACATACAAATATATAACATGATGAAAGTGGTACATAAACTACAAGATAATAGTTGGATTAAACCTTAGTAGAAATCATCTTGTAGTCCCTCACCTAAGAAAAAATAAAAGGTTTTCTTTAAGAAAGGCCAAAACTATTTTTTAATACAAAAGCAATTTTCACTTCCAAATTTTTTTAATGAAGTAAAAAGGAAAAATAACATGTACTACAAAAATATGAAGTGGCACTAATTGTTACACCCTCTGGTTTAATACACTATATAGAACACTATACAACACATTTATTAAAAAATTATTATTATTTGATTTGAAATTAAAGGTGGAAAAATTTGAAGATGTGGCCATGCATAAAAGATGTAGAAACCAACTAAATTGACTATATTTACATTATATTCTAGGTTGAATGCCAATTTTGGTCTTTTAACTCTAAAAAAAAGGCACTTTTTTAATTTTTCTGTCAATAAGTCTATTAAATCTATTTGTATATATGCATTTAAGTTCTGTAACTAAAAATGTGTATATTTGGATAGGCTTAACAGACTAATTGATAGAACAACAAATATAGTGCATTTTTGGAGTTAAGGGACTAAAAAAATGCTTAAAATAGATGAAGGACAAAAAATATGCAGAATCCTAAAGTTAATGGACTAAAATTGGCATTTAACCTATATTCTAGTAGCTGAACTAGATAAAGGAGTGTTTGTTTTGATATGTCAAAAACAGTTATAAGCTGTTGGTTTTAATCAAATGGGTTAGATATTTTGAATTATAAATATCAATAATTATTAATTGTTAGATATCAATTATCAGCTGTTAGTTGTGCTTTGAAAAAACTAAGGTTAAAACCCTTTTTTGGTCCCCGAACTATTGTACAGACTCCCAATTTAGTCCTTGAACTAAAAAAATCCCTGATTTGGTCCCTACTGTTTACCCATTTTACCCAACTTGGTCCTTCCGTTAAAAATATAGTGAGGTGTCCAGTTAATTAAGTATGATGACATGTCAAAATATTGTGACACGTCAATTGTACACATGGCACATGTCATAAACCACGTCAAATTCTGAGCCAACAAAAAAAAATAAATTGTGGGGCCCACCTCCTGCCCCCCCAAACTCACTATCTTTTCCCCCTTCTTCCCCTTTCAACCCTAGAAGAGTTGTACCAGCAGTCTCCGTTGGGTTCCTTCGAGAACCCAACCGCTGGGTTTCATTGGAACCCAAGAGCTGGGTTCTTTCGAGAACCCCTAGGTTCCTTCTCGAACCCAGGCATTGGGTTCTCG